ACACTGGAAATCAAATGCAAAGCAGATTCTTTTCAAGATGTTGACTGTGTCTTCTAAATCAAGAAAAGTTGTTTAAATGATGATCTAATCTCGAGCTCACAAAAGACAAGGGAACTTTTGCTGCATAATTCCAATTGTCACAGTATATTAAGAAAAGAATGAGGGGGCTGGAGAGATGGCTCAGTGGTTAAGAGCACCAGCTGCTCTTCAAGAGGTCCTGAATTCAATTCCCAGCAACCACATGGTGGCTCACAACCATCTGTAATGAGATCTGGCACCCTCCACTGGCATGTGGGAAAACATGGAGGTAGAATGTTGTATACATAATAAATAAATAAATAAATAAATAAATAAATAAATCTTAAAAAAAAAAAAGAAAAGAATGAGAGAGCACCTGCTAGATGGCTCAGCCAGTAAAAGTGCCCACTGTGCAAGGTGGACAACCTGAGCTCTGTTCCCAGAACCCGTGCAAAGGTTACAGAGCTGTTCTCTGACTTTCATGTGCTGGCTTTGGCACACACACGCCTATACTCACAGTGCACACAATAATAATGAATTCAGTTTAACTTTCAAAAGGATAACTGGGCAGTGGTGGCACACGCCTTTAATCCCAGCACTCAGGAGGCAGAGATGGGTGGGTCTCTGTGAGTTCAAGGCCAGCCTGGTCTGCAGAGCGAGTTCCAGGACAACCAGAGCTACACAGATACACCCTGCACACATCTTTGATCCCAGCACTTGGAGGCCCAGGCAGGAAGACTGGCCTAGTGTACAGTGAATTCCAAGCCAGGCTGAGATACATGATGGTTATATGGGAGGTGATGTACACTGTGAATATGTTTCATTGCCATTGGTTAATAAAGAAGCTGCTTTCGGCCCATGGCTTAACAGAGTAAAGCCAGGCTGAAAGAAATTTATAGAGAGAGTAGGCGGAGTGAGGGAGACACCATGTAGCCACCAGAGGGGAAAGACACGAGCTGTTAACTGGAACCTTGCCGGTAGGCTATGAATCTTGTAGTAAAATATAAAATAATGGAAATGGGTTAATTATAGACGTAAGAGCTAGCGAGCAGTACACTTAAGCTATTGGCCAAACAGTATTGCAAATAATATAGTTTCTGTGTGATTATTTCAGTTCTGGGCAGCTGGGAATGAACAAGCAGCCTCCGCCAACATAATGGGATCTCCCTCCTCCCTCTCTCCATCCTTTCTTCCATCCTTCCCTTTCTTCCTTCTTTCTTTCTTTCTTTCTTTCTTTCTTTCTTTCTTTCTTTCTTTCTTTTTTTTGAGGTATGGTTTCTCTATGTAGCCCTGGTTGCCTTAAAACTCACTTTCTATAGGACCAGGTTGGCCTTGAACTCAGTGGTCAGACAGACGTGAGCCACCACTGCCTGGTAAGGAACCTATTTGAAAAAGTGAAAGCAAAGAAGAAAAGCAATGATATAGGCTGCTGTTTCCAGTAAGTCCCACTATATCTACATGTAATGAACAAAGAAGCATAAGTGTGAGCCGTGTAGGACATTATTGTTCTTATGAATATCGAGTGAATAAAATCCCCACAGTGGGTGTGCTAATCTACATATGTAGTCTGATTTCAGTTTTTTTAATCCCTGTATCCTTGTATGTGAATATGTGAGTATCATGATTGTAATATTGTGACCATATTTTAATTTACTATATTTTGAATTTTTACACATAGAAATCAACAGTTTCTAAACCCAGAGAGAGGGAAGGCACTTCTGGAAGGAAAAAAAACAAAGAAACTATGAGTCTTTTGGGCCATTAAAAAAATAATAAAACTATCCTAATGTGAAAATAAAAAATATATATTTAAGTTATTATTTATCTTTGTGTTTGTCTTTGCTGATGTTTTGAGACAGAGTCTTGCTATATAGACTTAACCGCCCTGGGACTGCTATGTGGACCAAGTAAACATTGAACCTGTGGCAATCCTCCTGCTTCTGGATCTTCAGTGCTAGCATTACAGGGTAAGTGACCATACCCAGCTTACAGATATTCTTATTTTAACATCAGCTGTGGAACGGAAGACCCCGGGTGCCATCTCCTCCTTTGCTGTCTCTGAGTGCCGGTTCAACTTAGTGTCTTCAGCCATGAATGCTCAGGAAGGACGGGTATAGTCCTTAAGGCTCAGAAACAATTCTCTTGGTTGTGGTGGTGGTGGGGGAGACAGTTTTGTGGTCAGGTGAAAGGCAGCATCTGAGATGCCGTGGAAGTGATGGGGCAGTGTTGGAGCAGAAAGGTTTCCCAGGTGAAGGGTCGTGGAGAGTCTCCATCCAGACTTACCTCTTGAGGGCAAGGCATCTCTTGATTAAAACAAAGAGCTCCTCAGCTGAGGACGGTGAGGACCGCTTCTTCCAGATAAATGTCCGTAGTGGTCAACTAAATAAGAAAAGTAAGCTGAGAACATTACTCACGACCCCAGTTCCTGGCGTTTGGGTCCCGTGCTGGCTAGTTTTTATGACGTGATACAAGCTAGAGTCATTTTGGAAAGGGAGCCTAAAGAGAGAAAATGCCCCTACCAGACTGGCCTGTTGCACATTTTCTTGACTGAGTATGATGTAGAAGGACCCAGCTCACTGTGGGCCCTGCCATTCCTGCACCGATGGTCTTGGGTGCTACATAAGGCAGGTGGAGCAAGCCATGAGGAGCAGGCCAGTAAGCAGCAACCCTCCTTGGCGTCTGCGTTGGTTCCTGCCTTGACTTCTCTGGATGACAGACTCTGCAAGCTGTAAGGTTAAATCAACCTCTTCCTCTCCAAATTGCTTTTGGTCATGGTGTTTTATCATAGCCATAAACACTAACTAAGACAAGCCCCAGGACCAGGACTTTCTTTTTCTTGGGGGTTGGCATGGTTCTGGTATTTATTAGTAGCTGAGATTAATCTGATGTCACTTCAGGTTCACAACGTCAGGACATAGGTACCCTTCTACTCCTCTCTTACACACTGAGACACTCACAATACACCCAGGAAGCCGCTTCCCAAGGAAAAGTGGCCAGTGGCACAGCCAGGCTTTGATCAAGGTGGAGCCATGTTTCTAGCCACGACACTTGCTGTCCTTCTGCAGAGTCACCAATCCATTCAAGACTCTGGGGTTGCTCGGCTGAAGTCTGTGTCTGTCCAGTTAGCCTCTATGTCTTGCATCCACCTTTCCTTCAAGAACTGCTTTTCCAGCCTCCTCCCCAAAGGTCTCTTGCCTGCAGGAATCCCTATTCCCAAGACTGTTACCACACCAAGTCGAAACAGTCTGACCAGCTACTCTCTGTATCTCCACCTCCCTACGCAAAAGCTCCTGGGAAGTAGGAACCTCTTTGTTTCCCATTATCCTCCAGGTCTTCCCTCTAAAATTCCTGGAACAAAGTAGTTACAATCCGTATTTGCCAAGAAAGCAGCTGGTAGTGGGCACTCGAGTTCCTCACTTGATTACAGTATATCGTGTGTGTTGGCCCAGGTCACCACCCTTCTACCTCGCAAAAGGAATGGATTTCAACAGCTGCCTTTATAAAATTGCCGAACAGCTGTGCAGTAGTGAAGTGGCCGCCCTCAAGTTTCTGTGTTTGGACTACATACCACAGAAGAAACAGGAGCCCATCAACGATGCCCTGATGCTCTTTCAGGGGCTGCAGGAGAAGGAAATGTTGGAGGAAGGCAATCTGTCCTTCCTGAAGGAGTTGCTTTTCCTCATCTGTCGGCTGGACCTGCTGACCCACGACCTAAACAGCAGTAAGGATGAGATGAAGAAAGAGCTGTATGATCTAGACAAAGCTCAGGTTTCTGCCTACAGGTGGGTAGAGATGCGCTCTCTCTCTCTCTCTCTCTCTCTCTCTCTCTCTCTCTCTCTCTCT